GCATAGGCCTGAAAAAGGGAGAAATAATCACTTGACTCCGTGGCCGCAAGGTCGGGAGTTGCAGTGTTTTCTCCCCGGTAGGACAATACATTGCTCTCATCACTGTCAAAAGTGGCAGAACTGCCCACCAAGCTCGCTGGACTGCTTGATGCAGGAATCGACTGCATGTCTGGACAGTGCGTGCTGGAGTCATGTCTTTCCCACTCGTACAACTTGACAAATGCACCTGCTCTGATGTCAAGAAGCTGTCCAAAGTCATATCGGCTCCTTTCCTGCAGTATATAGCAATCAGCACCGTATACACAATCATGTTGTGGATTTGCCAAGCGGAAAATCTCCGCTGTGTTTGCCAGATGCCCATTCACAGTGACTAATATCGCTACCAGGTTACTTCTTCCGTCTGTAAAAACCTGACAGAGCACTGGTGTCATGCGAACACGTCGCTGCACTGCAAGCACATGTGGCCTCGGGAGTACTAAGAAAACTGGCGGTGGTTGAACCGGCACCAGCTCCACTTCAGTGCGAGTTGTTCCAGTCACCCAGCAATACCGACACTGCTCTTGGACTTCATGCGAGATTCGGAACGTACAGATACACGGATGCTCTTGCAATAACACTTCTTCCTCCTGTAAAAGCCAGATTGTCACAGTCCCTTCCTCCGAGAACCAATCTGAGACATAGAGATGCAATGGGGACCGTGGTTGTGCCAGCACAAATGAGGATTGCATCAGAGATACTCCTCTTGGCCTCGTCAGACATTGCTGTCTCAAGTCAGATCGAAGGTGTAACTGAAAGCTCGTAGCATGCGGCTTCTCAATAACTTCTTCCATTGTCCACCACATCTCAGTCCCTTCAATATGTAGATCACATTGGTACAGTCCCGGCCGACAAACCTCTCTAAGCCCGACTCGTGCCACCAGATCCTTCATACGCTCACCAGTGTGATATATCACCGCAACTCTTCTTGGCTGGCTCGAATATAGGATATCCAAAAGAAAAATCCTCTCACCATTTTGCTTTTGCATACGCAATAGTCCAACCAAGTCCACCGGCATGGTACGAAGTGTCAGTGGCGGCGGCTGTGGCATCGCCTGTACCAGTTGAACAGGGAAAGCTTCATGGAGGTCTTGCCACTCGAGGCGGAAGGCATGAGTGAGCGAGTTTCCCGGCGCACTAGCACAGATCCTGGCAAAAGCAGCCACTTCTTCAACCACTAACCAAGTGTAGACAGTGAAAACCCTCTCAGGATCAGCTTGTGCACTTTCAACCATATAGGTCTTTAGTGGGTCAGTCTGGTCATGATCTATTGCCTGGATCGTGATTCCTGCTTCTTCCGGCAGGTCTATCCGTTGGGGCAGCCCTAGTGCCCTCCTAAAGTCTTCTTCTTCGTTTTCGAAATCTTGCTGCCATGGTAACATCATCATCATGACTTCGTCTGCCTCTTCAATGGACACTCTGTCAAATTGCACTGCCGGGAGGTGAGGACGGGTTGCAGTGTTACCAGCGTCATCATCTCCCTTGTTTTCTCCACGAAAACCTTCTGCCTGCCTAGGCGTGTTAAGCATTTCATCTTCTCTCAACGGGAATTGGGCAGGCAATGGATCTTCACAGATAGCAGCTTCAATACGCTCCAACGTAACAACAGCAGCAGGTGGTAGCACAATACGCTCCATATCATAGAAGACACGAATAGTGTCCAAATAACGAAAGGAGACCTGGGGCATCCACGGCCGTTCACAGAGCGCATCCATGCCAAGCATATTGCAGACGACCACTGGGCAGCATCCTGGCGGACATCTAATCGACTCAATCTCATTGTATCCTCTCAACGAGTATTGGACAACCAAGGGAAGCCAGTCAGACGCCGCAACCTCGGATGTCATAGCCAGTACTACCGTGTCATGAAGGGCCCTTGTGTTGCCATCCAAGTGCAACATAGTCGGCTGCGGAAATACAGTCAGGATCACCACTTCATGATAGTTTTCTAACTCAAAGTGGTTCATGATGCGCAATGACCATAACCCCATTCGCAGCAAATGCACTGCAAAGGGCTCACCATATATTTGATCCACATCTCTGAATTTCCACCCCAAAAGTTTTTTTTGCCAAATGCCGCTTTCGAACTCTCGGAAATGTTCATAGGCCAAATCTTGACCCTGTGTCAACCATGTGTCGACCAGCTGTCTTCTCGTCGTCCGGTAAACAGGAAGGAAGGGCCTTCCTCTGGTCGCTGCATCTCCAAAAGAAATCGATGGCCTTTCTCTAGGAGGCCGTTGCATAAGGCCTATATGGTCATCAGCTTCATCTTCTGCTGTAGCCCTTGCAGGGAAGAAATTTCGACAATATTGAAGAAAGGGCAAAGAGGTTGCAGTGTTGTCCTCTATTGGCCATGTAGCAGGAAATGAAGAGTGAAGCTCGACCCAAAGGTGACAAAAACTTTCATCCAGCTTGCCAAATCTCTCCCCACCATCTTCCTTCAGACCTCCAGCTGCTTGAAAAAGACTATTCTCATCATCCTGGTATGCATCCGCCTCATCGATCTCTGCCTCAATGGAGGAGACGGACTGACCATCAGACAGACCGCTACTTGAGGACAGTGTAGAAGACCCCGAAAAGCAAGTAGAGTCATCGTCATTCAGAGGTCCATCAATGTCAGCAATATAGACCCTGACAAAGGCTCCTTCATAAAGTTGGATCGGCATGTGCCATGTGTAGAGTCTTGGCAGTCTCAGGTCTCCCATATAGACCTTGCAATCATCTTGCCATACACAGTCTCTTTGAGGCACAATCTGTTGCAGGAACTGTAGTGTGGTGAGGATTCGGGGAGCCACTACCACAAAAGTCCCTCTCATGTACGTCCCTGGCGTGGTCAAATCAACCAAGATCGGAAGGTGCAATTCATCAAGCATGGGTAGCACAATCAAAGTTGCTATTGCCTGATCAATGTACCTTGGAATCGGTCTCACAGGTACAATCATCAATTCATCAGCTCCAAAATGCCGATCCCAATGATGATGCAGCAGAGGCATAAGCTCGGTCGCTGGAGGCCACACAAGCACATGACCAAAAACCGAGAAAGTCCCCATCGCTGCTCGTGGATGACACCAAGCTACGACTTCAATAGGCACTTGTCGTCTTGCATGAGCAAGAACATAATTGCTGGGTGCATCGCGCTGTAACAGCTCAGGGGCTAACGTCGCATGCATCTGAGCTTGCATGAACACACTGATCTCATCAGCATCAGACTTCATCTCAATGGAATCTTCCTGCAGCAGACTATCATCTTGCAAGACCAGCATCGCTCCATGAGATGGGCAAGATCTGCCCTCATTTACAGATCCCAGAAAGCGAGAGGTTCGGCAGAATCTAGTCCATTCACTGCAACTTCGGAAGTGTATGGCATAGTATTCATACTTTTCTTGCCTATCCCCAAAAGTCACCTTCTGGACCAAATTAACCCATGAGTGAGTCGAGGACCGGACAAACAGAATGACATACATATCGATCGAACTGCTCAACATAGTCAAGGACCGTGGTCGCACTGACACATATGAGCATTCTTTCTGTCGGCACTTATCTCTCCAAACATCATTAAGGAAAGCCCCCAGATCACCAAAATGCTCAGAGGCAACAATTCGATGTCTCCATTCAGTACCCTTGGCCGGGTATGGTTCTGCGAACCAAGACACAAGCCCTACTGAGCGAGAACAAAAGGGGTAGCCACCTTCATGCAACGGCTCCCGTCGACAAACCTGGCCACATCTAATCTGCGAGGTAGGAAGAACGAACTTCTGTACCAAAATCACATCTTCGATAGATCCAGCAGGAGATACTTGCTTTGGAGAGACATGCTCAGCAATCCTTTGTCGATATTCCCCATTCACATAGAGGCGATCAGATGTCAATCTTCCCCTAACAAAATTTGGGCCAACCGAATTTGCAGCTCGACCAGGCATCTGGTAGTGCCTGGGAGCAAATCTTTCATCAGTTTGGAGTGGACAAACTTCGTGGTCATAGGGAAGGCCAACATTGTCATGACCCTCCCAACAAAATTCTCCAAAGCCGAGTCTAGATCGAAAGCCTTCTGCCAGGAACAAGCGACCTGGGTTCATGCCAAAGCGCCCACAAGGCCAAGAGGCATCTCTGGCAACATGGTCAGCAGCATTAGAAGCCATAGATAAAGTATCTTGCATCTGCTGCAGCTGTTGGTTGGCTGTGACATATTCAGCCCCAACAAGATTGCCCAGAAGAAAAAGGGCAACAAACCTTTTGGTCATCCGAGTCCTCCCATGCAACCTCAGCAACAAGCGCCTCCTTCCACATCTTCGTGCAGAAAAAGGGAAGCGTGGATAATGTTGCTCTCGCCACCTGAGAAGCACCATTGCCACCAGGAGACATAGCACAAAAAGAACTACTCGAAAGAGGCTTAGTAGGATATGCACACCACTGCCACCATCTTCCACTTCGTCCTTCTGTGCTACCTCCAGACAAGCAATATTGATAAAAGCCGCAATGGAGAGCCATCCAATGATACCAGTAATTCTTGAAATAGCCGGCCAGGTATACAGCTTCCCATGCACCTGTGTATGCCAAAAGTCCGATACTTCATAGAGTGCGCTGACTAAGGCAAAGGCCCATATCGGCAGCATGATTTGACACATCATCAGAGTCCAATCAACCCCAGAAAAGGAAAAGTCGCTGGCCCGTCCAACAAGCCAGTATGTCCAGGCTGAGAAAGAACTCTCAAAGATGTCCGGAATGAAGCAGCTCGGAATGGCAAAAAATGAAGAAGCAAGCCCACTACACCCTCTAGTAGTGGTCTCATGAAACTTGAATCTCGAGGTAGCATCATCTTCTCGAAGTAGCCACCCCAAAAATTCTCTACAAATACCCTCAATCTCTTCCTGGGGTATGAGACCTTCAAAAAGTAAAGGACCAACTCCAGCTAGGGCACCAGCAGAGCTAAACCCAACTCTGCCATCCTGTTCCTGCCCAGTCACTAGCAGTAGAAAGTCCTCACAACCACATAGCTCTCGACCCAGGGCAGCATCAAACGTCTCCTCCAGGTCAATTCGTAAAGACCGCAAGGCCATAGTGCCTTCTATTCCATGTCGTTCATAGCATCTGGCGCAGCATTCCCCAGCAAAATAGTTCCGTGAGATGCCGCTACCTGCCCAGGCGAACTGTCGGCGTCGATCTTGGGCACAGGTCCACTGCCTCCGAAAGGGAGAAGGGCATCTCTCACCCTTTTCTTCGGAGTCACTTTCTCTTCTTCCGGCTCTTTCTTCACAGGCAACAATCCAGGAGGGCCAGCAGCATTGAATGTCGCCATCACCTCCTGGATGAGCTTGTCCACACTGTCGAAAGTCGGATAGCTGTCCAGATTGGAGTTCAAGACCCCTAGAATCTTTGCCTGACAGACCTCTGGCAGCCCTTGCAACTTCTCTTTCAATCCAGCATGAACATCCTGTTTCTCCGCACTCTTCTTCTCGGTCTCTCCACCTCCTCCTCGACCTCGTGATCTGGAGCGACCACGCCTCTCGGGCTTCTCGGGCGTAAGAATCACCGGGATCTTGCCTTCCCCTTTGGGGCGAATATTCTGTTCCGGCGATTTGCGGAGAGCATCTGTGTGCAGTGATCCATTGTCCGCAAGCTTGGTGAGCATAGACATCATCTGCGAATGCATGTTGTCGATCATCTGATAATTGCGATGCTCTAGCTGTGCAGTGTAAGTAGTAAGGTCTTTGAAGTCCTGCCGCATCCCAGCAAATTCCTTTTCCAGGTGTACAATGGCAGGCTTGACTCCTTCTGCATCTGACTCCGAATCCACCTCCACAGGATCCACACCATCCCTCTGGCGCTCCAGGGAGCGCAATTGCTCTTGGAGCTGAATCACAGCATCTCCATGCCTCTTCTCCTCCTGCTTCAAGCCCTGGCTCATCCACTCCTTCCAGGAGCGGAACTTGCACTCTTCTTTCTCTATCGAGTCCTTGACCTTCTCCAAGCGGTTCAATCCACGTCTCTCCTGATTGAGAGCCTTCTGTCGCTCTCGCAAAGACTCGCGAGGATCTTCTTTCACCAAGTCCTGGATATCCGCCGGAATCTCCACCTTTCCGTTCATATTTTCCAGAACAAACTTCATGGCAGCTTTGAGCTGCTTGTTCTCGTCCTTGAGCGAGTTGTCCGGAGAGGGCAAAGCAGAGGACCGGCCAAAAGTACGATCTGCAGCATCTTCTACCTTCACCTTTTTTCCATCGTACCCGTAGAAGGCTGGCTCCTTGTCGAGGTCTTTCTGCCACTTGCGATTCTTCTTCTGCGGGGTCTGATTCCAAGACTCCCATGAAGACCATTGCTGCTGTCGGCCTTTCCCCCATGGCATGTTCTCACGAAGAGCTATAGCTTTGAGAGAATAGCAGGCCTTAGTGTGGTGTAGTGCCAGAACCTTTCTGGCTGTGAGCAGCTTGTCCAAAACCCTGTCACGAGGGAAGGGTTTATCCCGATGCCTACGGATGTAGGATCGCAACCGCTGCCGCCTCTTTCGAAGTTTCCTATGCCACGAGGGTGATCCTATGGCGTCGAAAGGACGATCTCGTTGTGAGATCTGGGGCCCCAAGTCGCTCCGCTCTCAAAGCGGCAATCTCGAGCCCTAACAAGAAGCTAGTGCCTTACTAGTAGTAACAAGAAGCTATTAGAAACAAGTGCATCG